CAGCAGTGGGCCACTGAGTGGGCCCTAGTGAAGGCCTTCAATTCCTGGACCCCATCAAACATGGCCGACATCCATCCAGAGATCCTGGCCTCAGCTCTGGCTATGGTCTTCTGGTGCCAGCCTGCTCCTTGGACCTGGCTAGGTCTTAAGGTTGCCCCTGGGAGGAAGCACAGGCCTCACCTCCTCCTTCAGCCCCTGCGGAGAAGTAGTTCCAGTTCCAGTGGATGGGCACTTCCCTAGGGGGTCTAGGGTGGGGCTAGTCAGGTCACCTGGCCAGACAACACCATTATAATAAGTTCATCAAAAGGGGCCCGACTATGCTGACGCAGCATTTGTGTATGGTCTTATTCTCAGCTCTGCCACTTTGCACCCACACGTGAAAAATGCTGTGCAAAGCAAGAACACACACACACAGCGGGGGTTGGGGGCGCGCGGGGGCTGTGAGAGGAGTTAAGGGCAGACAGGGAACCACGAAGGAGTATTGATCACAGACAGCATGAAGGAGGCATGGTCTTCCTGTTTCAGAGTTGCATCATGGTACTCTCAGGTTCACACAAGGTAGAGAGAAGACCCCCCCCCCAAGGGCACCCGCTGGCCCAAGAACAGTCCAGGCACCCTGTGAGTGCAGGGGTTCCTGCAGAATTCTTGGGTATGGGGCTTCATACTAGGTATTACCCAAGGCAAATTCGGGGAGTCTGATCCTAAGCACCTGAGTCCCCCTCTCATCCTCTACCTGTAGACAGTGTGACAACAGCACCTGTTTGGGAGAGTGTGGCCCACTTCAATACACTCTGCCTGTGGGCAGCAGGTCCCAAATGGGGAGGGTGCCCAGGGAGGGTGCCCACCCCCTGGAAGCCTCTGTCTGTTAATTGTGAGACTCCGTTTTCTGCGCCTGTGGCCTCTGCCAGCCAGCAGTGGGGAGCCGCTGGGGAGTGGGAGGGAAGACGGGAGAGAAGGAGGGGGGGAGGACGCTCCTTCCTGCCCTCCCCACCTCCCCGCGGCCTGGGAAAAGGCAGCATATTGAGGCGCGGGGCTCTCAGCATCAGGCCCCGGGATGCTAATGAGGGCGAGCGCGTTCCCACAGCCCGGACATTGTGCCGCGCGGCCCACCTGCTCCTCGGGGAGCGACCATTGTGCCCGCGCCAATTCACAGGCAATTTAGCGTGCGCTAATGGGCCGGCGCCTTTGTGCGGCCGGCGCCGCCATTGGCCGCCGAGTGTGGGAACGGCCGCGGCGCCCGGGCCCCAGGCGCCGGGTCGCCGCCCGCGCCTATATAGGGCTGGCGCGCGGGGGTCGGGGCCGCGCCAGCCCGGGACGCCTGGCTTTGCCCGTTCCGCTCCGCTCCGCTCGCCAGTCGCCTCCTGAACGCCAGGCATGGCCCCAAGTACCGTGGCGGTGGAGATGCTCAGTCCCAAGGAGAAAAACAGAGTAAGTGCCACTCGCCCGGCGCGCGGTGTCCGGCTCCCCCGGGGCCTCTGGCCGCCGCCGCCGCCCACCTGACGCCCCTCTTCCCGCAGCTGCGGAAGCCGGTGGTGGAGAAGATGCGTCGGGACCGCATCAACAGCAGTATAGAACAGCTGAAGCTGCTGCTGGAGCAGGAGTTCGCGCGGCACCAGCCCAACTCCAAGCTGGAGAAGGCCGACATCCTGGAGATGGCTGTCAGCTACCTGAAGCACAGCAAAGGTGAGCCACGCGCCCATGCCCGCCTCCCGCTCCCCGCCGGTGTCGCTTCCACCGCGCGCGCGCCCCACTCATGCCGCCCCCGTCTTCCCGCAGCCTTCGCCGCGGCTGCCGGTCCCAAGAGCCTGCACCAGGACTACAGCGAGGGCTACTCGTGGTGCCTGCAAGAGGCCGTGCAGTTCCTGACCCTGCACGCCGCCAGCGACACGCAGATGAAGCTGCTGTACCACTTCCAGCGGCCACCAGCTCCCACCGCACCTACCAAGGAGCCCCCGGCGCCCGGCGCTGCGCCCCATCCTGTGCGCTCCCCGGCCAAGGCCGCTGCCGCCGTCGCCACCTCCCGCCAACCCGCCTGCGGCCTCTGGCGGCCGTGGTGACCCCGCGGCCGGCCGACAGTTGCTCGGAGCAGACCAGAGGACAGACAAGCCGGTTCCTCTCGTGTTCCTCTCCGTGTAGGGAAGACCTTCCCCAGCCGCTGTTCACGAAGCCCCAGGTTGGCCCCAACCTTCTTCCGAAGGCTCCCTCCCCCAGGCTGGCTGGCCAGCAGGAGGGTCATTCTTAGAGAATGTTTGTGCAGAGTTGTCATTTGGGGGATAATCAGGGTCCACCCTCTGCCGCGCGTCCGACCCCATGGGGTTGTTTTGTGTTTGCATTTCAGCAAGTGACTTCTGGGAAGTTCCCGGTCACGGTCACCGGGGGTTCTATGATATTTGTAGAGTCGGGGTGGGGGGGTTGGTTTGCCGGTGCCCCAGCCTGTAGAGGACTTTCTTCAGGGCCCGTTGCTGCTGGGTGGGCAAGCACCCTGCAGGCGGGCTGTGTGCCCTGGGCACACTTGCCTTTTGTGAAGGCGGAACCGCAGGCGTTTCCTCATAGGAAAGCACTTAGCCTGCGTGGGCATAGGGCCCATGGGACCTCACCTAAAGGTCCACGTGGCCTTGGCTGTCCGATGCACGCTCATAGTGGGCTGTCTGGGAGGGTGGTGGGGTCTCCACGATGATCCTTAAAGGATTCCTCTGTCTGGGTGGGTGCATGTGGGCACGGGCGGTTTTGTACTTAGGATTTGAACTCTTGGTCATGTGGGAGACCACAGGCTTCTCTGAAGGCTTCTAATAAAACATCAAGCCCTCCATGTCTGTCCCTCTTGTCTGTCTGTCCTTGGCAGCCATAGGGGTGGCCTGCCCCATGACTGGGGGTGGGGCAGTGGGACTACCGTGCTCACAAGCAGGTTGCTGGAGGTCCTCTAACAGAGAAGAGGCAGGAGGTGAAGGGCATGCAGTGCTGTTGGTGCTCTGTCTGTGCAAAGGACCTGGGTGGCTCCCAGGGGAGGGTGGGAGAAAGGCATCGTGATAACCGTAGGTCCTTTGCTCTGCCCACTGAGATGGGAGCTGGGAGTCTCAGTGCATCGTTTGCTTCAACAAAAACAGGCTTGGCTGTATCAAGCCTGAGAAAGTACCTGGCCCAGGTCCTGCTTCCTTTACTGCACCTGTTTGTCTAATTCTATGTCCCCACTCTCCCTCCCTCCCTTCTTCCCTTCCTCCCTCCCTCCCTACGGTCAGGGCTAACTCATTCCACATCCCATTTGGCCCACGAACCTGGTAGGGATGGTTCATGTTTAGTTTAAGGCAGTCTACAAGAAGGTCAGCCAAACTCACAGGACCCTAGAACCTCAGCTTCCAGGCCCCCCCCTTCAACGTCAAAACCCATGGAGCAAGGAGTGGGGAGGTGCTGGGCGTGTCAACAGGTCTTCTGAATGACAGGTCACAGGTGGGGAGGGCTGCTGCCCTGCCTTGATCTTCCCCACTCAGCACTTCTCATCAAACCTTCCTCTCGTCCCTTTCTGTCTCCTCTGCCAGGGGCCACCTGAAGTCCCTGCTGAGCCCCTAGCTGTGGAGAACCTCTATCTCCGCCCATTGGTGTACCACAGGGGCAGCAGCCCATCTACAAACAGGGGTGGAGTGGGCGGGGGAGGGGGGACCACTCCCCCGTGGAGTGTCCTTCTAAACTCGGGGCAGGCATACCCCCACTGACAGGAACTGAGCTGCTGGGTCAGGTTACTCTCAGGAGTCCTGCCACCCTGGAGCAGGCCCTCCCATTCAGGGCATGCCCACCCTGTTGCCAGGCACCCGGCAGTACAAGGCTGCCTCCTCCCCTGGACCAGTCCAGACACACCGGCAGGCGGCTGAGCCGTGCGCGTCGCCTGTGTGAGTGGCAGCCTGGATGCAGACAGAACCTGAGGGCAAGATATTAAGCTATGCGTTGGACCTCTTGGAGGGACTCTCAAGTCAACAGGAACTCCAGATCACCTCCTCCCATTTTTGAAGCCCGGCCGGCCCCCTCTTCCAGACACCCTTTCCTCCCTTTCCCTATAATTTCTGCACACTGCCATTAAAGACCAAAACTCGTGGTGACGTCTCCCGTCTCCCCATATCACTGTCCCCACGGCTGGGCACTCCTGAGTGTAGGGTCCTTAAAACCACCCCGATTTATATGGGAGTTTCAACATTGAAATCAGGGTGGTGGGTCCCACCCTATCAAAAATCATCTCCGCAGCTTGTAGGGCCGGACCTCACAGCGGGGGGGGGTGGGAGGGTGAGGGGCGCCAGGCCCAGGTGGTGTGACCTCGGCGCAAGTTAGCATCCAGACAACTTAGCGAAAGAACAGTATTCCAGAAGCTGCTTATTCATTCGTAGTTTGGAGAATAATAGCACTATCCTTTCGCAGTCCTGACCTCTAAGGACTCTAGTCTGGGGCGGTCGAGAGGCAAGGGATGGTCTCCTGCACAGGCGGAGGGGGCGGGGACATCATTAGCATAATTTATGCACGCGGTCGTTTACCAGTCAATTATATGCGCATATATCTCCATGGCTGATGAGGCTGTCCAGGCACTTTCAAAATGGCGGAACGTGGAGCAAGTGGCGGCGGGAGCGGCGGGGACAGCCTGGACAAGAGCATCACGCTGCCCCCGGACGAGATCTTCCGCAACCTGGAGAACGCCAAGCGCTTCGCCATTGATATAGGTAGCCACGGACCGGGTACTCGAACGGGCGGCTAGAGTAGTGGGCGCCGGCGGCCAGCGGGGGCGGCGGGAAGGACGAAGGGCGGGGGCGCGGGCCATGCGCACAGCCTCACGGGTCGCCGCACAGCCTCTCGGGACCTGTAGTTCGCGCAGCGCCTAGGTGCGGGATCGAGCTGGCTGTGGGACTTCAGCTCCCGGTAGGCACTGCGCGGTTGGAGCGGGGCATGTCGGGACTCGTAGTCCTCGCGGCGCCGGCCGATTGTGAGGGTTCCGCGGAGGGACGGGCAGGGCGGATGGCCTCGGTGATGCTAGTCTGCTCAGATCCCCTATAGTTTGACTGCCCGGCCCGAGCTCCCGCTTCCCGGACAGCGGTCGGGACGTAGTAGGACCCCGGTACCCGTGCACTGGGTGTTCCGTGGCTTTGGATGCCTGCTCTACCTCTTACGTCCGCCTCCTCCTGCGTGCCTGGTGGTTGACCTCACTGCCCACCCGCCGCAGGCCATCCTTGGACCCCCTCCCTCCTTGGGCTGCCTCATACCTCCCAACAAGGAGATTCTCTCATCGCCCCTGGGTGCAGATGTGGAGACCAAGGCACAAAAGGAGGCTAACTTGCTCGGGGGTCATTGAATTCGTAGATTAGCAGAGCTAGGATGGGAGCCGGCCAACCCCCAGCCACTCCGCTGTGCATCCTGTTATGGGGGAGTTTTGCACCCATCTGTGGCGGGCGTTTCGCCCGTGCCTCTTGATGCCAGCGTGGTCAGCAAGGCCCACACAGCAGGGCAGCATCCGCTGTCTTTGGACCTAACTCCGTGAATGAATGTGTGTGCTGCTGGCTCCTAGCCTCCTTGAAAAGAAAGTCTGGGCCGTTAAGAGACTTGAAGTCTCTATTTCTGGAACAGTGCATGTGTCCTCCACCCTCGGGCGTTTGGGTTGTCTCTCCGAGGTGCCCTTTCTTGGGTGAGAAAGCAGAGATGGCCTGGTTTGAGCTCCCACTTTATCAGGGGCTCAGGAGGGTTGGTGATGGGGGAGCAGGCACTACAGAAGACCCGAGTAACACCTGAGATGACTTGGTGACTGACTGGGTATTGGACTGAAACCGGTGAGCTTACAGGCCCAGCAGAGGGGTAACCAGACCAAGCCAGAGGCCCCAAGGCAGCCGTCCCCGGCTTCTGAAACTCTCTCTACAGGGGTAGGTTTTGTGTTTTGTCCTGTGGTCTTAACACTTGTTTGCTGGGAAGAAGTCAAGATTAAATAAATAGGTCTGAAAAGCAATTGAAGTTGGTTACAACTGTCATCGGGCAGTTGGGAAAACAGGGTTCCCTTGGATAATGTTTGTGGCTCCCAGAGACCATCCAACTAGTAGCCACAAAGCCTGAGCTGTAGTGGAGGGTTTCCTCCAAACTGAAGGTCCTGAGGCCAGGCACAGGCTACCTTGACAGAAGGACACTGCAGGGGTATGTTCAGTGTTGGTTTTTGTCTCCTCTCTCTGGAAGCTTCCACTAGCCTGGGTTCTGGATCTGAGCTTAGAAGGACATGCTTCCCGTTCCTGAGGACGGACTGATTTTTTTTTTGTTTTTGTTTTTTGGTTTTTTTTTTTTTTTTTTTTTTTTTTGGTGCAGCTGATGGGAGATCACAACTCAGGATGGGGTCGACAGCTCAGGCACCTACCGAACAACGTGCTTGTTGGCAGTGTTGTTTAAAAATAGACTTCTCCTGTTTCCTCTCTCCTCACTGTGTCCCCGGATCGAGGAAGCCTCAGCTGTTCTGTGTTCTTGGCGCGCTCTTTTCCTGTCTTGGATGGGACATTCATGTCAACTAGGTTGACTCGTCCCTGAAAACACAGGCAGTAGGGAGGGTCCCCCAGGGGCATGCAGGCACCAAGAGACTCCAGGGTTAGTAAGCGCTGGGCTGCTCCGCCCTCCCTTGGCTCTGTGAAAGTCAGAGGACAGCTTGGCGGGACTCAGTTCTGTCCTCACGATGCGTGTCCTGGCAGTCAAACTCAGGTAACCTCGCTTGACAGTGGCAAGCACCTTTATCCAATCCGTCTCGATGGCCTCTCTATGCTTTCTGTTTTTTTTTTTTTTTGGTTTTTTTTTTTGTTTTGTTTTGTTTTGTTTTGTTTTTTGGTTTTTCAAGACAGGGTTTCTCTGTATTGTTTTGGAGGCTGTCCTGGAACTCGCTCTGTAGACCAGGCTGGCCTTGAACTCACAGAGATCCGCCTGCCCCTGCCTCCCGAGTGCTGGGATTAAAGGCGTGTGCCACCAACGCCCGGCCTCCCTCTGCTTTCTGATAAATTAGTTGCTCAAAGTAGATTTCTGTATGCACAGCCTTATCTTTTCAGAAACAGTCTATCCTCAGACAAGCATTTAGAATCAGACAAACCTGAGGACAGGTTGGGATTGAGGGCAGGAAAAAGAGGGATCAGGAGGCTTAGGAGGATGGCCAGGGATTAAGCTTGTACCCTCACTAAGCTGAACGAGCAAGGCTGCATTGTGCTCATTCTTGGTCACACGGGACAGGCTGCCTTGTCTTAGTTCCACTGAAGGGAGAGCTCTGGCCTCCACGCACCCTCTGTCCCACATGTCTATAAATTTTGAGTATCTGCTCCCTTGTAGCCCATTAAGTATTTTCTCATAAAAACAAACACTTGGAAATAAGTTAGCCATTTCACTTTGGTACTGAGAGACCTTTGCCTTGTTTCTGTCAGCCTCTGAGAGGTGTAGCTGCAGTGGAGTGCCGAGATTCCTGTTTTCCCCATGTGCCATTTGAAGGCCTGTGAATCTGCAGTTGCAACTACAAACTAGACAGTTGCCTTTTCTGCCTGCAGGGACTTGTCCTTGACATCGCCTTCTCTGGAACTCTGGGCAACTCTCCCTGGAGTGTGTGGCTCAGTGGACAGAGACCTTGTTTTTCCTGGAGCACAGGGTGACAGGGCCCTGTGAAGATATCAAGAGCCCTCCTGATTCCAGGTGTGGTGGTTGATCCATACCTTGAGTTCTAGCACTGGGGAGGTAGAGTCATATGGATCTCTCTAGATTTGAGACCAGCTCAGGCTACATAGTAAGTTCCAGGGCAGCCAAAACTACATAGTGAGGACCCTATTGTCTCAAAAGACAATAGGACTGGCTGGGAGGTGGTGGCACACTCCTTTAATAGCAGCATTCAAGAGGCAGACGCAGGTGGATCTCTGTGAGTTCAAGGCCAGCCTGTCTACAGAGCAAGTTCCAGGTCAGTCATCAGGGTTGCACAAAGAAACCCTGTCTCAAAACAAACAAACAAACAAACAAACAAAACAATAGAACTGAAGAAAAGGATAAACCATAAAGAATACTGACTTGGTTTTTTTTAGAGCATCAGATTTAATTACCAACACCTGTCTGGTTACTAGCAACCATCTGTAACTCCATTTACAAGGGGATCTGGTGCTCTCTTCTGACCTCCACAGACACTACGTGGATGTGGTGGGCAGCCATTTTATGTAGGTAGGACATCCATACACGTAAAATAAAAATAAAATTTAAAAATATGTAAAAATAAAATCTTTAAAAACAACGAACAAGAGCTAGGTCCTCTGGAGGCCTCTGGGTTACTTTGGCTACTTCTGAGACTTGGGCTGTCCCATGAACTCAGTCCTGAACACTGGGGCCACTCTGACCCTCCATCCCTGTGTGTAGGTAAACCTTACCTGTTGATGCTGTGTGTTGCCCACCCTGGTTTATTAAGACGATGGACTAAATATGAATGAGTCAGCTTATTGGGGTCTGTCAAGATCGGGGCTTAAAACCGCATTGCTTTTAGGGTTGGAACTTGGACCTGGACCCCACATGTAGTAAGGGTACTGCCACTGAGCTACATCCCTGCCCTTTTACCTCATATGTTGGGGTGTTTCCCCTTGTGGCCCCCTTATGCCCCTCCTCTCATTAGCCTTTGTCTCCCTAGATGTCATTACATTTACTTTTTTTTTTTTAAAGATTTTTATTACATATACAGCGTTCTGCCTACATACCAGAAGAGGGCACCAGATTGAATTGTAGATGGTTGTGAGCCACCATGTGGTTGCTGGGAATTGAACTCAGGACCTCTGGAAGAGCAGTCAGTGCTCTTAACCTCTGAGCCATCTCTCTAGCCCCTACATTTACTTTTATGTCGTATTATACACTCATAGTTTTACATACCTATATAAAATCTGTGAATCACAAACAAAAGGAATACATGTTTGTCTTTCTGAGGCTGGCTTAATTCACTTAACATGAGCATCTCCACTTGTTTCCATTTTCCTGCAGTTGACATGACTTCATTCTTCTCATGGCTGGAAAAGAAATCCATATAATTATACCACATTTGTTTTGTTTTGTTTTGTTTTGTTTTTTTGGTTTTTCGAGACAGGGTTTCTCTGTGGCTTTGGAGGCTGTCCTGGAACTCGCTTGGTAGTCCAGGCTGGTCTCGAACTCACAGAGATCCGCCTGCCTCTGCCTCCCGAGTGCTGGGATTAAAGGCGTGCACCACCAACGCCCGGCTTATACCACATTTTTATTCAGTCCTGTTCCTCAGCCCACACTTTATTTTATTGTGAGACAGTGTCTCGATAAGCTGCCTCGGCTGGCCTTGAAATTAGTTTACAGCCCAGGCTGGCCTGAAACTTGTGATCCTGTTGCTTCTGGCTCCCAACTAGCTGGGCTTACAGGTCTGCACCAGCAGGCCTTGTAACTGAGTGTGTGGGGAGGAGTGGTCAGAGGACACTCAGGCTTTCTGCTTTTTGTCTGTCACTGACCTGGAGCTTTACCAACTAGGCTAGACTACTAGTTGGCCAGTGAACCCTAGCAATCTGTCTTTTTTCCTCCCTTTTTGTCATCACTGGAATCACAAGCACACACCATCATGGGAAAACAAGCACACACCATCATGGGATCATAAGCACACACCATCATGGGATCACAAGCACACACCAGTATGGGATCACAAACACACACCATCATGGGATCACAAGCCCACATCATCATGGGATCACAAGCACATATCATCATGGGATCACAAGCACACACCAGTATGGGATCACAAACACACACCATCATGGGATCACAAGCACACACTACCATCTTGTTGGGTTCTGAGCATCAGAACTCAGCACTCACAATTGCAGGGCTAATGTTTTATCAACTGAGTCTCGCTCCAGCCCTTGAAAGCTAAATTTTCTTTAAAACTGGCAACAGCTGAGTGCATTTGGAGACGGCTGGTTGGCTTCACTTGTGCTTTGTGAGTGTGGGGAGGGAAGCCGTGAACTCAGATTAGTTAAGAATCTGGGGGCGGGGCAGAACCCGTAAAGAAGAGCTGCTGCAGCATGGTGGTTCATACTCTCTTTCTCTCTTCTGTGTCCACAGGGATCTTACGTTCACATAGCACTGAGCACCTTGTCCACACAGACTCGAGTGCTCAAGCAGGAGGCTGTCTGCTGAGGCATCAGAGAGCCCACTGAGGGCTTACGGAGGTGGATCTCAAGGCCTCCTTTGTCCTCTTCTGAATTTTGCCTGGTTTGTGTCTTTCAGGTGGATCCCTGACCAAGTTGGCATACTATTCTACTGTACAGCACAAGGTGGCCAAAGTGAGGTCCTTTGACCACCCAGGAAAGGTGAGCCCCGAGAGGTGGGCAGGTGGGTGCTCCAGTGGAGCTGGACAGGGTGGCTGCTTCCCTCTGGGCTTGGGCTTCATGCTGTCACTTTGTTTGTTGTCCCCTGCTGTTTACACATGTTAACAACACAGTCCTGGAATTGATTGCTCTTCCCTGACCCCTTGTAGGTGTCTCTCCCACCCTTTGCGGGAATGCCTCCCCTCCCTCTGCTCCGTGTGTAGTGAGTGTCCTTCTCTGAGGGTCTTGGGTATCTAGACCTCTTCCCTTCATCCCCTATCTCTGCCTTGGCCCAAGCTAGTATCAGATAGTTTGTGTATCGCAGTTGAGTGAATGCCTAATGATGTGATTCTCGAGTCTTTTTTTTTTAACATTTTTTTTTAGATTTATTTATTTATTATGTATACAGCGTCTGTCTGTATGTCCACAGGCCAGAAGAGGGTGCCAGATCTCATTACAGATGGTTGTGAGCCACGATGTGGTTGCTGGGAATTGAACTCAGGTCCTCTGGAAGAACAGCCAATGCTGTTAACCTCTGAGCCATCTCTGCAGCCCCGATTCTCGAGTCTTAAAGACTTCTTAACTCTTTCCAGGACGTGGAACAGGACCATGAGCCACCCTATGAGATCTCGGTTCAGGAGGAGATCACAGCTCGCCTGCATTTCATCAAGTTTGAGAATACCTACATGGAAGCCTGTCTGGACTTCATCAGAGACCACCTCGTCAACACCGAGACCAAGGTCATCCAGGCCACGGGGGGCGGAGCCTACAAGTTCAAGGACCTCATTGAGGAGAAGCTGCGTCTGAAGTGAGTGGAGAACCTTACCTGTGCTACTTGTGGCTACTCTGTGCTGTCTCGTGTCACGTGCACCACGGCTGATTCTTGTGGCTGTGTTTCTTCCATTCGCAGGGTGGACAAAGAGGATGTAATGACCTGCTTGATTAAGGGGTGCAACTTCGTGCTGAAGAATATCCCGCATGAGGCCTTCATGTACCAGAAAGATTCAGACCCAGAGTTTCGATTTCAGACAAATCACCCCAACATCTTCCCCTACCTCCTAGTCAACATTGGCTCTGGAGTCTCCATCGTGAAGGTAAGAGTCCACAGAGTGATTGCTGAATGACTCAGTACTCCTAGCTATGCACACGCTGTGTGTCACAACCTTCGCTGAGCACAGGAACTCGCAGAACCATTGTCGGCCTGAGAGTTGGGCGCCTACCACTTAGATCAGCGCTGCCCAGCGTTCGCTTAGAAGAGTATGGCAGAAGCTATTAGCCTTGACCCCAGTGCCCTAGCAGCCTGTGTGGCCTGTAACCTGAAGCCTAACACTGCCCGCCCTACTCTTCCCCAGGTGGAGACGGAGGACCGGTTCGAGTGGATTGGTGGAAGTTCCATTGGAGGAGGCACCTTCTGGGGGCTCGGGGCTCTGCTCACCAAAACAAAGGTTACCCCTTAGGACCTCTGCTCTGTGTCCCTGAGAAGGTCGCTGCTACATGCCTGTAGAAGCTATTCCCAAGCCTTTATCCTGGCTCTCTTGCCAGGTCTCATTAGATCCCTGTGACTGAGCCATTTACACTCTGAAGGACAGGGACTCTGAGCTACTGGAATTCTGCCTGCTCAGTGGTCTAGTGTCCAGCTTGCCAGCCCCTGCCCTTACCCCATGTGCTGAGAGAGGACCATTCACATCCGGCCTGGCTGGCTCCTCTTTGGTGTCCAGGGTAGTGAGGGTCCCCCAGCTGCTAGCCCCTCACTACCCTGCTCTGCCCTGCCTCCACAGAAGTTTGATGAGCTGCTGCAGCTGGCCTCCAAAGGCCGGCATGCCAACGTCGACATGCTGGTACAGGACATCTATGGTGGGGCCCACCAGACCCTGGGGCTGAGTGGCAATCTCATCGCAAGCAGTTTTGGAAAGTCAGCCACTGCCGACAGAGGTACTTGCGAGGCTCTGCCCTCATGGTGACCAAGGACATCACTCTGCCCACTAGAGTGGAGAGACAAGTCTCACAGATTCCCCCTGAGACTGTTCTTGCTGGGCCTCTAGGACTCACCCTCCCAGAATCCTGCCAGATAGTTAACTTCCTTAGCCTCTGTTTCCAAGGAAATGCAAGCTAGGAAAAGCAGTTAGGATACTTTTTTTTCCCCTCTCTTGAAAACAAAGCCTCATTCATCCAGGACTGAGTCCCGCCTCCTACCCGAGAGCTCTGTGCCCCTCGCCCTCTCGCCGCCTGCCACCTGGGGGCGCTCACATCACACCCTAGACTGTGTTTCCATCTCCCCTCAGAGTTCTCCAAAGAAGACATGGCCAAGAGCCTGCTGCACATGATTAGCAATGACATTGGACAGCTCGCCTGCCTCTACGCCCGGCTTCACGGCCTGGACAGGGTCTACTTCGGGGGCTTTTTCATCCGGGGCCACCCCGTGACCATGCGCACCATCACCTACAGCATTAACTTCTTCTCCAAGGTGACCGTAGACAGCTTCCTGCCCTTGAGCACTGGTGTGGGCTCAGCTCACATAAAGTCTCCCAAAATCTCGACATTCTGGCCAGAACTCATTTCACACCCAAGGGGCACATGTGAGCCTCTGGGATGGGGCACAGCCATAGTTCCATCGTCTCCACGGGCAGATGGCCCTCCCACCCACCCAGACATTCTGACCAACGGCGCCTTCCTGCTGGCCAGCTTGGCCTTCTGTGCATTAAGCCTGTCACAGTAAAGGGCGACCAGGGGCTGTCCTTTAGTGAGGGGAGCCACACGTGGGTCTGAGGTGTCTGGGCAGTAGCAAGCCCGGGGGAGGCAGCTGTCTGGAGTCGGGCTTCCCCTCAGGCTCCTCAGCCAGCAGGCTGCCCTGTGGCATGTGGGTACCATCCGTTGGCAGGGTATCAGGCAGCCTTGCAGAAGCTGGCGTGCTGGTGTGTGGTGGGTCCAGAGTGGATCTTAGTGGACACTGACCAGTGACCTGTGGGCTTGGGCTGGGGCAGGGCGAAGTCCAGGCACTCTTCCTGAGACACGAAGGCTACCTGGGAGCCATCGGTGCATTTTTAAAAGGAGCCGAGCAAGACAGTGAGTAGAGTCACACTGCACTGGGCAGGGAGTGGCCCATGCCCCTGATTGGGGGCATCTGGGTGGGAGAGTGGGGGCGGGCTGGGGCGGGGGGGGAGGCTTGAGGAAGCCCTAGAAAGGGGTGATCCCTTAGCGGTGTAAATAGAGCAGGGATTTTATCCTCTTCCTTCTCTGCTTTCCCCTTTGGATCAGTGGTGAGGCTGACCCAGTGACTGGCCTCTCGTTTTTTTTCTAGGTCCTAACCAGTACAGCTGGGGAGAGAACTATGCAGCCAGCTCCGGGCTGATGAGCACATCACCCGAGCTGTGCCCGACCCAGCGGGCGAGGAGCGGCACAGTGAGTAGCAGGCCCTTCCGGAGCAGCCTGCCCAGCTGTTTCTGCTGTGACCTCTCACCACATAAGCTGCTTTTATGTTGATAGCAAGTTAGACTTGAGGGCAGGAGGCGCCGAGGTTTCCAGAGCTCTTGGGAGCCTGGGAGGCCTGGCAGCCTGTGCACAGCACCAAACTGGCGGCTGTGAACATGTTTGCAGCAGAAGTGGAGACTAGGCCTGCCCTTGGTGGATAGACCTGCCCTTGGTGGATAGACCTGCCCTTGGTGGATAGGCCTGCCCTTGGTGGATAGGCCTGCCCTTGGTGGATAGGCCTGCCCTTGGTGGATAGACCTGCCCTTGGTGGATAGGCCTGCCCTTGGTGGACAGACCTGCCCTTGATCTGAGCTCACTGCCAGCAGCTTTGTGTTTCTCAGGAAGTGTGCTCTCCCTGGAGTGTGTTATACCCATTTCTCAAGTCTCCACGTGAGATGAAGTCCACTGGGACGATAGACAGTGGGCTTACTTGGCCAGAGGCAGGCTGAGCTCTGTGGGGCTGGTGGGTTAGAAGATTCATTAGTTCCTGCCTCGTTAGAGTCCTAGCATGAGGGCTCCTGCCAGGCATTCTTGTGTTGGGTGCCCACTGTGGTGTAGTCGCCATTTTACCAGCTGTTTGGCCGTCAGCCACTGGCCGCAGACCTGTAGTGACTCAGATACCATACACACCTGGGAAAGAGCAGTTGGAATAAAGGGAGCTACTAGATACATGAAGTGAGCCACCACCCTCAGGACAAGGTTGCCAGCACTAGAGTGGAAAACAGCTTTTCATGGTGGACACAGCATCCCTCGGTAGTGAGCCCAGGCCTCACCAGTGAGAGCACTCTACATGTCCCCTGTGCACTTGTCGGTGGGCCAGACAGGCGGGGAACTGCTGTTCAAATGGCTGTCCTCCAGCCTTGGCTTTTAATTCATCAAGTGGCTGTGTTGAGGCCTGCCACATGGATTCAGAAATGAAGGGAGACAACAGCAACCAAAGCCCTCCTTCTGTCTGGACTGAAGGGTGGCTCATGGCTCCCCCAGTAGAGCATGGCAGGGTGAGTGGCACTTGCCCAGCCCTGTTCCACACCTTGGGGCCTGCATAGCTCTGCTAGGGTAACGTGTCTGACATGCAGGTGCTGAGCAGTCGTTTGAGGCTTCCGTTGCCAAGAGAGACAGAACTAAGTTTGAAATCCCTGCCAGGAAAGCCAGCGGAGGCCTTGGCAATGCCAAAACCTGCGGAGTGGGAAACTTGGCAGCATAACTAGTAACGAGAGCCTGGAATGCCATGTGTCCTCATGTGCAGAGAACACCAAGACTGGGTTGCCTGGTGGTGAGCCAGTGATTAATTAGTTAATCCCTGCCCCTTTCTGGTCAGTCTGGGAATTTCCCAGGCCTTTCCTGCTAACCTTGACACTTATATGTGTTCCCAGGTTTTGCGAGCATTTGTCTCTGTGGCTCTGTCCAAGCTGAGTCTTAACCCAGAGTTCATGTTCATTCATTGCACTCGAAATCCCGTGGCTGAAAGGGCTTGAGTTCATGGGTGTGGCGTGGCTGGTGACTGCTTGAGGTCAGAAAGAGGTGGCCTTGGAGCAGAGGTCACGCTTACGCTGGCTCTGACACGTGATAGTTTCTGCGGTCCTAGAGCTGCTGCTGGGCGTGTTCTCCTCACTGCTGTTATACATGTTGATTCAGCTCGTCTCACCTTAAAATAGAAAAGGGCCAGTGGGGAGAGGGATGGTTCCAGAAACACTCGTGGGCTTGGCACCAGTGGCTGTGGGGTACCCGTGGCTGCCAAAGTAGCTGGTCTTTCTGATTGCGTCTCGGAGCCAGTGTATGAGGAACGGCCCCGCAGTGCTTTGCGAATAGCAAATCGGGTGCACAGGACAGAGGCCAAGGCACGTGCGAGTGTGCCAGAACGCATGCAGGCAGACGAGAGTCAGAGGGCTGTTGTCACTCAGTGCTGCAGGTCCTCAGCACTGAGCAGCAGGAGCAGCAAGGAAGTTCTTGGAGGCCTGGACATGCAGTGCAAGCTGAGTGTTGGGAGGAAGCAGCATGAGCTGGTGTCGGGGCAGCCGAGGGGGCCGGCTCAGGAACCACAAGCTGCTGTGGAATTAAGGGTGGCAGCCAAGCGGGGGAGGCTGGGAGTTACTCTGAAGCTGTAAGAATAGGCCCACTCCACTGCCAAATAATGGGCTGAGCCCAGCAAGTCTGGCTGGCGGCTGCAAGAGGAGGCTCAGAGATGAGGCAGGTAGGCGCTAAAGCCAGAGCTTACGAGAGGACTGTGGTCTTTGCGACAGTGACATTTCTTCTTGTCCTCCTAGTTTGACCTCCTGGAGATGGACCGGCTCGAGAGGCCCCTGGTCAACCTGCCCCTCCTTCTGGACCCATCCTCCTATGTGCCTGACACAGTGGACCTCACTGACGATGCTCTGGCCCGCCAATACTGGCTCACCTGCTTTGAGGAGGCCCTGGATGGGGTGAGGCTCAAGACGTTAGTAACAAGTGGCCCATGTGGCCTCCAGAGCACCTGGGCTGCTCCGGGGCTTGGCCGTCTCCATCCCTATGAGGATCAGCGGGGAAAGAAGGCAGAAGAGGACAGGGATATTTTCTGGAAACCATGTGGTCTTAGAAAGCAAAGAATATTTCTGTCTCAGCAAAGTGTATTGGGGTGAGGTCATGATTTAGTGAAGTACTTGCTATAGAACACCATGTGCTTTTACTGTTTACAGCTCTTCCAAAGGCAAGCTATCACACAGACCTCTGTTTTGGGCAGTGTTTGGAGGGAGAGCCTTACTCTGTAGCCCAGACTGGATTGAAACTCACTGTGTAGCCAGACTTACCTCAGACTTATGATCCTTCCGCCTCAGCTGAGGGAGTGCTGGGAGTATAGCAGCCTGTGCCGCCAAGCCAGGCGCCTGATCAGATTTTTGACATGAATAGGATCCTGTGTTGCTGTGGAACCTCTACCGTGTTCATCTCTTTTTGTCTGTGTCAGGATCTGATAGAAACGAGGAAGAGCCTCTGGTTTACACTTGCGAAGGTTTCAGCCTATGGTCTACTGGCCCCTTGTGGGCCTGTGGTGAGACACCATTGCAGGGGCAGGGCCCAGTAGAGCAAAGCTGCTCACTCTAGCAACCAGGAAGCAGAGAGGGAAAGATTGGAAGGGACCAGGGCAAGATGCATTCTTCAGAGCTGGTACGGTGGCACACGCCTTTGCTCCCAGCACTCAGGACGCAGAGACAGGCAGATCTCAGTGAGTTTGAGGCCAGTTTGGTCTGCATAGTGAGTTCAAGGCCAGGGTGGGCTAAATAGTGATATCTCTCTCTCTCCAAAGCCCCTAGTGACTACTTCCTCAACCAGGCCCACCTCCCATATTCTACTTCATAATCGTATTAATATTTTGAGTCCATCAATGAATCACTCCATCAGTGAAGAGCTCTTGTGATCCTTCCTTCCAAAGGTCCATCTCTGAATACTGCTTGCATCAGGGACCAGGCCTTCAACCCTTCAGGTCCAAATCATATGTCTCGTCTCCTTGTGCATTTTCTGCCTTTTCCAGTGCTAGCACTCTATGTAGTGGTGGTGCTGGCCCCAGGGAAGTGTGGAGGTAGGGCTACGGCAGCTAAACCTTGAGCTCAGGAAGGCTGGGTGGTTGTAGCCACAGTAGGAATACCCAACCCTCTTTCAGGCATCTGGGTATGCGCTGAGTGAGGGGCACAGCCCTGGACTCCAAATAGCCCCTGGTTGTGGACATAAATTGGAGCCTTATTCTTTGTAGCTGTCAGTGAGGCCCTACAGTCTGATCCTGTCTCAAAAAGTAGCAGCAGGATGCTTGGCAAGGGTGGTGTCTTCAGAAGCTGAAATTCCAGACACACAGGGCCATCACCATTATTGCCACAGACACTGGCTTTAGCTGTGCAGGTGTGCTCCAGCACAGCTGGGCAGAGCTCCACCAGCCTGTGCCCACCCTCTCGTTGTGCCTGCCTATAACAAGCATTCTTTCCACCAGCCTGGACCCAGAGCCGCATCAACCCCAAATAACACGCAGAAAGAGACTCTATTAGTTACAATGCTGTCGGCCAATGTCCAGGGCTTCTCATAGGTTAGTTCTGCCTTAAGTATTAACCCATGACTACTAACATACATTTCTATAAGGACTTATCTCTTTCTATAAAGACGCGTCCTCTCTTCCCCGGGATCACGTGGCGACTCTCTACTCTTGACTGCATTTCCCAGAGCCCTCCTCAACTCCTAGTCCCACCTATCTTTCCTATTGGCCAACAGTGCTTTATTCAACAATCAATAAGACAAACACGTACACAGAAGAGCATTCCCCATCATCTCCTCTTTACTGTTTGAGTAAAAAGAAATGTTTTAACTTTAACATAGTTAAATATATAACAAAACAGTTATCAAGTAAGAACTATAGTTATAATATTTAGTCCATTAACATTTAGCAAGATTTAAAGAAAGTATCATCTATCCTATCTGTGAGTCTAAAGTCTTATTATGTAGCTTATCTTTTATCATAACTAAGGAAAACTGTCTGTCTTCAACTCCATCAAAGATCACAGAAGGATAATAAACACTAAAATTGACAGAGACATTTTGCTGCCTAGGCAGTCACCCAAAGTTCTTCTGATATGTTGGGGCATCCATCTTCAGCCCATAGGCCACAGTGTGTCTGGCAGACTTCTCTGTGAAGCAGGAAATTTTTAACTGTCTGCCTACATTGGCAGTTTGTCAGTCATTTTTCTGTGTGTCCTGTAGAATGTCTGGCAGACTCTTCCATGAAGCAGGAACCCTTCAGGACTGACCCATCAAGTTCAGCAGTCACTTTCCTGTGGGTCCTGCACCCACCTCTAGGGAATTTGACTTATTTGACCCCTCTGCTGTTGGCAGGTGGTGAAGCGAGCTGTGGCCAGCCAGCCAGAGTCCGTAGACGCAGCTGAGAGGGCAGAGAAGTTCCGGCAGAAGTATTGGAGTAAATTGCAGACGCTGCGGCACCAGCCCTTGTGAGTCCTATGACCCAGGCCGGCCACTGAGGAAGGGATTCCCTTCCTGGCATGGGGACCCTCACTGGCCTGGCCGCAGGATGAAGCCCACGTGATATGGCCTCTTCTGGCTGTGTGCAGGGGTCTCATTGGGCCATCCTGGGCTCTGTGAGACCTGTCTTCTTCAGCCACACTCCGTCCTGGTTTTGTCCCCAGTGCTTATGGGACACTGACTGTGCGCAGCCTGTTGGACACGAGAGAGCACTGTTTGAATGAGTTCAACTTCCCTGATCCCTACTCCAAGGTGAGCTCTTCAGGCTACAAGTAGGGTGCAGAGAACTTAAGAGCATTCTGTTATGCCCAAGCTCAGGAGGTCTAAGCCCACCCTGGCTAGTTCTCAATGGACAGCTCTACCCAGGGCCTGGGGTCCAGCCACTGTAGCCCCATGTGTTGGCACTCCTCATATCCTCTGGTAGGAGCTGTGGCCCTTCATTCCCTGCTGTCAGACATCTTGTCCCTTCCTCATATACCCATGCATAGTGGCCTCTGCCTCCTGACTCCATTTAACCTTGTGTGCTGAAGTGCTCTGCCTCACCCAACACCATGTAGACCCGAGGACTGCCCCAAATCAGTGAGTAACATGGTACACTCAGTGGGTCAGCGCTAAATGACCCTTTCGCTTCCCTGGTCTGTCAGGGATGTCAGGGTTTGTATCTTCAGTGAGCCTCCTTTGTCTACTGCCCTGTGGAGCCCTCCTTAGAAGCTACAAAGAGGTCAGGCGTTGGTAGCGCACACCTTTAATCCCAGCACTTGGGAGGCAGAGTCAGGTGGATCTCTGTGAGTTCAACACCAGCCTGGTCTACAGAGCTAGTTCCAGGACAGTCAGGGGGTGTTACACAGAGAAACCCTGTCTCAACCCTCTCCCCCTCCTCAAAAGAACAAGAGTGGTAAGGGGCCTCCTCCAAAGCGCTAAAGCAATGTTTATGTGTCTTCCCCATAGGTGAAGCAGAAGGAAAATGGCCTCGCCCTAAAGTGCTTCCAGAGTGTGACACGCTCACTGGACTCACTAGGCTGGGAAGAGCGACAGCTGGCCCTGGTGAAGGGGCTGTTAGCTGGGAATGTTTTCGACTGGGGAGCCAAGGCTGTATCTGAGTAGGTGTCTGAGGCCTGCTCAACTGGTCCCTTCCTTCTCCCTCTGAGGTGGCTTAGAGATGGTTTATTCCGTGACTAAAGTACGCCATCCTGCCTCCAGGCTGTCTAGACCCAGACCCATCTTGTTCTGGGCTTGCACTGCTTTTAACAGGAATGGACAAAGTCATGGGCCTTTGTGTTTCCGGAGGTTTTCTGGGCAGGCACATATCATCATGAGGTAGATTTGAGCTTTAGGGCAGACATTTTCAGGGTAAAAGTCCAAACTCATAGTTACTAAGTACAGCGGGGATTGATAAGACATGGTGTCCAATGTCACCAAGGGGCCTTACACAGGTGTTGGCACCAGCTGAACACCGGGACAAGTGTGTTTCTAAGCAGCATTGAGTTGCCGTCTCCGTGGTAACTCACCCCAGACCTGAGCCTCATTGGGTGACCATGCTACTCGCTGGTATGGATCCACACGGAGAAGGGTCATTCACTCTCCCGCCTCACCCTCTTCTCAGCTGCCCATTTGAGATGCAGGCCCCAGTGTGTTGTGGCAGGGAGACCGAGGCTGGCAGTCACAGAAGGAGCTAAGCTGCACTGCCCTGAGCAGGTCTGAGTTCTTGCACTGCACGGCCGGGATGTGTTCGTGTCTGCAGTGTGCTCTGCCTGGACCCGGGCTGCCCACTGAGTGGAGGTGCTGTCAGTCCAGCTCAGCACTGCTGGGAGACACCTCACCATGTTGATTCGTGGCAGAACGCTTGCTTTGTGGTTTTTTTTTTTTTTTTGCTTCATTTTAATTGTCTCTTCTCTGCACAGTGTCCTTGAATCGGACCCCCAGTTCGGGTTTGAAGAAGCAAAGAGAAAACTGCAAGGTATGGACACCGTGGGCACGTTGGGTGGGTGGGTGGCTGGGTGGTTGGTTCTGCAGAAGAACTTAGGCAGTGGAGGCAGGAGTAGCTCTGCCCGGTGCTGCGTAACTACGTGGGCTTGGCGTGAGGGAGCGCACTCCTTGTCGAAACAAGCTTCCCTGACTGGCGTTCCCCATCTCCTCACAGAACGGCCCTGGCTCGTGGATTCCTACACCAAGTGGCTCCAGAGGTTAAAGGTGCGTAAAGGTGTCTCCGCCTCTGCCCTTGGGGGTTGGCTACCAGAGGCATTGGGCTTAGTGTGAGGTGGGTGTAGCAGCCCCCTCCCGCCCCCTCCCCGCAGTGGCCTAGGACACGGGGATAGCCTGTAGCCCACCACTTAGAGCTCACAAGCCCTCAGCTGAGAATCTAATGTCAGAAGTACCCGTTGTAGGCTGAGGTGCGACTCAGTAGAAGAATAGTTGCTTGGTGGGTATGAGGTTCTGGGTCCCATCTCCAGCACCCCAGGGAAAACAGATATCCCTACTCCCTGCGTGACCTCCTCAGTGACCGCTGCCTGGGTCACCTGGCCCTGGGACAAACTGTCTTGTCCCCGTCGGCCACCATGCTCTGAGACCCTCTTCCTGGGCCCAGCCCCTGCGGGGGCTGTGGGGATGTAGAGTACAGCGGTGTGTGAAACGCTCGAGTGCAACCTGTTCCCAACTGAACGTCCTGGTTTTGTCTTACAGGGGCCCCCTCATAAATGTGCCTTAATTTTCGCAGATAACAGTGGAATAGACATCATTTTGGGAGTCTTCCCCTTTGTCAGGGAGCTACTCTTTAGAGGGACAGAGGTGAGTGCAAAGGCAGGGTGGGCGGGACCCTTCCCCTGGGCTTCTCAGCTGTTGGTGGGGTTGGCATTGTGTTGCCCTGGGCTTCTGGCGGTGGTCAGAGCTCCTCCATTTGTGTCAGGTGAGTGCGGGTGAGGTCAGGGAGTGCCTGGGCCCGTGGGTGTGGCTGTGTCTTAATGCCTGGGCTCAGGCTCTCCTGTTCCTGGAACGGCATTTCCCAGAGACGTGGGAATACATGGGAGGGTATCCTGGCCCAGGAGGCAGGCCAAGGATGGGATGAGAGGCAATAAACATGCGCTAAGCACAGCCCTGCCTCTCTTGGGAGCCACGGAGCCCTGAGATTGTGTGGGGCCCTGCTGCCCAGGTGGCTGCTGCTTGGACCCTGCCAGGGACAGCTTGGTGAGTTTTGGCCATATAAGTAACAGCCCCGTTCTAAAGAGCTGCTGCCCCCTCACCATAGGTCATCTTGGCTTGCAACTCAGGCCCTGCCCTGAACGATGTGACCTACAGTGAGTCCCTCATTGTGGCAGAACACATTGCAGCCATGGACCCCATCATCTGGTAGGTTCTGGCTGCCTGTGTTAAGCCGGGCAGGAGGTGGGCCTAAGAGGTACTGGGGGATACGCAAAGAAGGGTTGGGGAGGGTCTGTACTGGGGCTGACTGCCTTGTTTTCTATAGCTCTGCGCTCAGAGAAGACAGGCTGCTGCTGGTGCAGACTGGTTCCAGCTCCCCATGCCTAGATCTCAGGTAACCCAGCCTCCTCCCTCCTGCTCTGCCAGGCACCAAAACCAGCCATGCTGCTGCCTACCCTAAATGTGACCCGTGTAACCACTTCTTCCTGCGGCCTGTAGGACAGATAGACAACTGCCCAGGCCTTGGGACCCTCCTGTAGCAGGGGCTCTGCCCCACTATTCTCACAGGCAGTATGTACTTGTCATTTATTTACTGTGTCTATATGTGAGGGCCATAGCAGGTGTAGAAGGCAAAGGGCAACTTGCAGGAGCAGCCTTTTTCCTTTCACTGTGTGGGTTCTGCAGACCAAACTCAAGTCACTGGGCTTGGTGGGCAGTGCCTAACCCCATTGAGCACCTTGCTGGCCCATCCTTCAGTGCCTCCTAGGAAGAGCTGCACTGCACTAGACATGTCCAAAACGTGGGCGTTAGGGGAGCTCCTGGCCACTGCTGGAAGGCTGGGCTTGGATATGCCTCAGCCAGAGGCACTGGGGAGAGGTCCCCGTGTCCAACCTCGCTGCCTCCTTCTTCCCTGAAGCCGCCTAGACAAGGGGCTGGCCGTGCTGGTGCGGGAGCGTGGCGCCGACCTGGTAGTCATCGAGGGAATGGGCCGCGCCATCCACACCAACTATCACGCGTCGCTGTGCTGCGAGAGTCTCAAGCTGGCGGTGGTAAAGAATGCCTGGCTGGCAGAACGGCTGGGTGGCCAGCTCTTCAGCGTCATCTTCAAATACGAGGCTCCCGCCGAGTGATTGAGACCTCGGCCGCTCTGCCAGACAGACCCGCCTGCCTGCCCCTCGTCAGGGACACGATTCACCGCGAGGAACCTGTGTCACACTGGAGTACTGACAACGATGCTTCTGTGACTGACGGCGCGTGCACCAGGGCCACCCAGCCCAGCGTTTGTCCTGTGGGACACTTGTGTTGGAATGTATTTAACTGTTAAATAATCTTTTATATATATATATAAATATACATATATATATAAATATATAAATACACATGTATTCACCTGGTGGGAAAGAGTTCCTGGCACGCAGGTCTCCAGAGGCCAGATCCGCGTTGAGTGTGCTGCTGGGGAAAAGCCCACAGCCCCGAGTGCTCTGTGGTCGGTAGCCCCAGTGACTACCTCTTGTCACCTCTGGAGCTACCAAGTGCTCAGCTTCCGGTCCTGTCCCCTCACCTCTTTGGGTCCCAGAGTTTCCCCCATTCCTGTTTCTTGACTCTGTGCGTCTTGTCTGCTGACCCAGCTCCTAGGAGCAGCACAAGCTGCTAAGCCGCACTCCTGCTTCAAGAGCTGGTGAAGAGGAGGCTTTGTCGTGAAGGACTCTCAAGGGTTCTTGGAGGGAGCCGGACAGAGCCCAGCGACCTATGTGGGTTTTGTTGCTGTGCCTTTGATTCCAATCCCCAGGGCTGGGCCCCGGGGAGCGCTAAGATGCCTCGGGTGTACTCAAGGCTCTTGGGCTCCTTCCTTAATTGACTTGACCCCCAGGGGTGGATGTGTGGCCATGGACAGCCATGCACTGAGGATGTAGGTGTGTGTTCACGGGACTGCACAGGTACGGGGTGGAGCCTCAGGCTCCAGTTGTCACCGTAGGGGCTTGTGCTTGGTATCTGAACTGTTGGAAAGACCGAAGAGGCCAACACCACCTCCACTGTGTCCCCCCAAGTGGAAGGAAACGGGCCAGCTGAGAGGCACAGCCAGATGCACGTCACCCAGCGTACTCCATTCTGGACAAAGCAATGTTACAGGGTCTGTCCCTAGATCCAAGTCATCTAGACTTGCCCCACCCCTTCTCCATGCCCTCAGGTTTTCAGTGGTCATTTCGGCCCTTCCCTGATGTCTTTGTGACCTGCCCTGGATGTTGAGGTGGGCTGTACCACCTATGATTTGTGTAGTGGCAGTGACACCTTGTGTACCAGCCATTATGCAAAGTCTGTAGATGAGCAGAATTGAGGCCTGGCTCTCCCACAGATGACCACTAGGGGGCAGTAGGCACCACACCAAGCAACAAACAGCATCGTGGGGTTCTACACTCTTTGAGTTCAGAGCCTACTTCCCCTACTTCTGGCCTAGCCCTGGACCTCAAGTCATCAGCCCAGGTAACTGTAGATCCCAAGCCAGGGATCTAACGTCAGAGGTCTCCATTCACAGATCGGGATATGCTCCTTGGTCCCTAGCTCAGATACGGAAGCCCTCCCTGCTTGGGTAGGCATCTTGCCTTTCTTGAACTCCAGACAGGCCTAGCTGTGTCTTGGAACTGTCCAAACTGGAAAGATGGTCTAATCCTCAGCCCTACTTTAGGGTGACCTTCAGGTCCACCCTGGGGCTGGGTTACAATGGCCCTTGGGTCTCCCATCTGCCGTAGCTGGGCCCTCAGATGGGAAGACATGAGCAGAGAGTGATTACGGCTCTGGGCATAAGTTTAGTCCCGCCTAACACGTATCCTTTCACCGGGGCCTGCCTGTGAACCCACCTCAGCTACTTACTATGGGGAGGGGAGCAGGCTGTGGCCAAATACCTGTCACATCCCGCAGGCAGCCCCAACCCGCAACCTCCATCCCTTGCTAGAATAGAGAGTCTGCTCCACTCCCTGAATGAGGCAATGCCCATGACCCTGCCGATGCCTGCAGTTCGGCCGTCCACATGCATGCCACCCCACCGTGAGATGCGGTCACCAAGCTGGCATAGCAGTTCTTCACTGGTCCCAGGCAGGCAATCCACCCTCCACGTACTTGCGCTTAGTCCACAGTGTGCCCACGTGCCCAACGCACAGCAGGTTAAGAAAGCAAGAGGTCTTACTGGACTCAAGACAAGAAGCCCCCCCCCCCCCCCCCGCCCTGGCCTTGCTGAGCTCAAATAAGTTTGAACAAACCCCTAAAGCTCCAGGGGCACAGCACCCACAGTGGGGGCCCTTGCCATGCTGCCTTGAGGAGGGGGTTACCTAGGCCTACCCTGGAAGACTGTCCTCTCTGCCCTATGAAGATAGAGCTGCAGCAGCAGCAGGGAATGGCCCGGAAGGAAGGGAGCAAGGTTGAGCCCACACAGAACAGGCCTGATACATTTATTGGAGTTGTGTTCCCAAGTTCACACAGTTGCTGGGTGGTCTGTTCAGAACAAGCCAGATGCACAGTGGGGTGGGGGACAGGGACAAACGTCCTAGCAGTTGTGGGTGTGTCAGGCATTCTGGGTACTAGCACAAAGCTGGTGGCAAAAAAAAAGAAAAAAACCACTCGGCACACACCACCACAGAACCAGACACCAGGTAGAACAGTAGGGGGAGGGCTTGGAATCATTTTTAATGTGGTGTAAGTTTTGGCTCTAAAATTTTAAGTATCTCTCTATGTATATATCTTAAAACGTGGAAACTGCCCACTAGGACAAGTGGACAGTGCTGTCCCTTGCTTTCCAGGTTCAGGGACAGGAGACAGCTAAGGTTGAGGGGGGGCAACTGGGTACCCACAGACGGAGAGTGCGGCACAACAGCTTTGGGGACCCAGTGGCTTCTTTTCCTGAGCAAAGGGTGGGTTGAGGCCAGCCTCCCCTGCAGGCAGTCACAGGGAAGGGTGACTCGAGTTTGAGTCAGGCAGGGTCAGAGCCTGAGCAGCAGCCGGCCATCAGCGGCGGCGGCGGCAGCGCCGCACACCTGCCCAGGGGCTCCTTTGGTAGGCATTGGCACATCCACACAGCCCTCGTGGCCCACAGAACAGGCACCCTCAGGGCTGCCCCGCTCCTCCTCTGGGGGACCCCATGAGTCCAGGCCTCTCAGCCGCTGCTGGCGCTCCTGGGCTTGGCGGGCCCGGCTGGCAATAGCACGCACTCGACTCTGGCTCCGCGAGGAGGACCGTCTTAGGAAGCTGGGGCCCCCGACAGGCCCATCCCCAACTGGGCCCAAGCTGGTGGGCGACGTGATGTCCCCAGCCTGCTGGAAGCCGGTGAGCCAGCGTAGCTGCTCTGTGAGGGCGTCTCGCCGCAACCCTGGCTCCATCGCCTGATGCGCCACCCCCAGGCCACAGTTCAGGCTGCTGGCACTGCCCTGAAAGCCGGGGGCAAAGTCGTCAGCTGTCAGGTCTCCCAGACTCTTGGACTTGGCGGACACTGGGCAGTCCTGCAGGCCTACCAAGGGGAGGTGATGCCAGGGCGGCCGTGGGTGGAGGCTGGTGAGCCGTGGGGCAAGAGGCCGGGGCTGCAGCTCGTCGGGCGCAGGGGGCAGCCCGCCAGCAGCCCGCAGGTTGGGGTTCGATTTGCTCTTGGTCACAGGAGGCAGGTCAGGGCGGGCGGCTGAGGCCAGGCAGGGCCGAGGGGTCAGTCGTCCCAGGGAGACCCCAGGAATGCTCTCTCGGCTGCGGCAGAGGCCCAGGCTGGGCAGCGAGAGGTCTATGACAGTGTCGCTGGATGACATGCTGGAGGACGAGGACACACTGTCCCGGTGACTGCCAGGCTCCAGCCGCTGCCATAACCTGTCAGCGCCTGTAGCATCCGAGTACACTGCAGGCATGGGAGAGGGCTCCCAGGGCACCTGGCCCTCACTCTTAGCCCTTCTAACCACTGGCGGGTGGCCCAGGGCCCAGGAGCGGCTCTTGCTGTCTGTCTGTCTGCCAGAGGTCCCCTCGCGTGGCCCATTGGGGATCCCACCACTGTGTGGTTTTGGGGGTGGCTCTTCACTGTCCCTGTTGTCCCCAGTCCCAGTCCCGAGCTGGAGGGTTCCAGAAGCTCCCAGAGTTGTCCGCTGGGGGCTGGTCACTTTGGCTCCTGTTTCTACAGGGCACTGGGGCCCTTCCTGAGAAGGGCCTGTGGGGACAGCTGCCTGCGGTGAGGGGCCAGGGCCCAGGGCTGGTTCCTCAGCAATGGGTTCCAGGCTGCACAGGGGGGAGATGGGCCGCTGCAGGGGAAAGAGGCGGGTATCTGGGGGGGGGGGGAAGAGGGATGGGAGACAAGAGGCAGAGGGGGAGAGAGAGAGAGAGAGAGAGAGAGAGAGAGAGAATATGAATATTAATCCCATCAGTGAGAGCTAATTTCTGACCCCTGAGCCAAGGGTAGGGGCCAGCCCACCCCAGGGCATCCCAGCAGCTAGGTGTCTCCATGTATACAAACGTAACGTAACACTCAGAGCACCCCCCCACCCTGCTAACGTCGGGGGAGGAGTGGTGCCCGGACCCCACACGGGGCAGTGGGCAGGCCAGGCCCGATCCTCCTTGGACTGGGGCAGCATGGGGACACACAGGGGTTGGGCCTGTTACCTGGCACTCGCCGGTCTCAGTCCCTAACTATGCAAGCAGCACAGGGAGCGGGGACAGAAAGGAGAACATGGTCAGTGTTGGGTGGGTGGGCCGGACGGAGGGGCAGATAGACGATGAGGCTGGGCAGGAGCAGCAGAAGTGCAATGAAAGCAGGCAGACCCCCCCTCCACCCCCACCCAGGCTAGGGCTCAGGTAACCAGCTCGGCCCAGTTCCCCTCATACTCCTGCTGGCCAGGTGTAGGCCAGGAACTGCCAGCCAAGAGGGTGGGTGGTCAGAGGGTAAGCGCCATGAGGGCATTGCAGGTCCCTGGGAGCTTCCCCCGCTCAGCACTGTGTGTGCTCTCAGGCCCTGACCTCCCAAGTCCTAAGCACCTACTACCCTGGTCTCCAAGGAGACCCCAAGGGATGCCCGTCGGTACCACCGCCAACTGGCAGAGGCAGGCTTTCCTGAAGGGGCTGCAGGGCAGAGTGAGCCTTTTGAATCGGGCCCTGGAGGGCGACCTAGGAAGGTCATGGGGTGGGGGGGGTCAGTGAGGCATCAGCGAAGCCCTCACTGAGGGCTGGCTGGACATCCTTGGGTTCCTCTGCAAGCAGCCCTCAGAAAATGCCCATGGCGACTCGAACTCCCCTCTTCCCCATCCCTCCAAAGTGCAGGGGGCCATTTGGTCAGAGGGGAGGGGTCTGAGGCAGACAGGCCAGGCCACGGGTTAAGCTGATGGAGCAAACGGAAACGAAGCAGAAGCCACGAGAGCACAGCAGGCGCGGA